CTTAAAACATGAACCAATTTCAATCATTTGAAAGTTGTTGCATTATGCTCAGGTGACCTACAAGGCCCATGGGCCTCTTGTTGATTTTGATGAGCGGTGTTGACGTGGCTACTAAAAATACAAATTTCTGTAATATAACAAGGGACACAAGTAGACTACATTAGATACATAATTCTGTTTTTGACAGTTATTGTTTTCGATGAACGGTATTGCCGTGGTTACTAAAAATACAAATTTCTGTGAAATTCTTTCAAAATGCTACTCCTCCTAAAGTTTTGGTCTGATTTCAATATAACCTGGCACACAAGTAGACTATACTAAGATACGTAATTCTATATATCGGTTTTTGATTTCGTTGAACGGTGTTGCCGCGGTTACTAAAAATAGAAATTTCTGTGGAAAATCATTTAAAATGTTACTCCTCCTACAGTTTTGGTCTGATATCAATATAACTTGGCACACAAGTGTAAACTACACTTGGATACATTATTCTGTGTAGTGGGTTTTGATTTCCTTGGACGGTGTTGCCGTCGTTACTAAAAATAGTATTTCTGTGAAATACATTTAAAACACTACTCCTTCTACAGTTTTGGTATGATTTCAATATAACTTGGCACACAAGTAGACTACACTAAGATACATATTTATATATATCGGTTTTTGATTTTTGATAAATGGTGTTGCCTTGGTGACTAAAAATATAAATGTGTGTGAAAATGCTACTCCAAATCTAGTTTGAGTCTGATTATGATATAATTTAACATGCAAGCAGACTACACCGAGATACATAATTATCAGTTTTGTGTTTTTGATTTTGATGATTTATGTTGCCATAGTAATTTAAATTCAAAATTCTCTAAAATTAAATTATCAAATTTCATTAAGAGCTACTCCTACAGTTGTAGTTTTATTGCAATCTTGCCTCAAAAGGAGACTTAATCGAGCATCATTATTCTCTTTATTGCTTATGTAATGTTTTATGTCCCAACTGCTACTTTTCTCTTTCTTTATTGCAAGAAAAAACCAATAGAGCTACAGTATCGACAGAGACTTCTTGTTGAAAAAGTAGTTCAAACTTTGAGGTCAAAGATACAGGGTCCTAAGTCAAGGTATAGTTTGAAAGGTCTTGTCACAGGTAATATAATGCGTGATATGAAAGTTTACTTTCCAATTAAAATCATATCGTACATGTAGTTAAAAGATAATACAATTCTCAGTTAACCATAAACTTTCAGAAAAGCTTGGCCGGCATTCTCGGCGCTACTTACTTGGCGTCTGTCAAATTTTTATAAATTCTCACTGGTTAAGAAAAATAGCATCAGGAACTTTAAATTGTTGTTGATAAAGATGAGACGACTCCACCTCTGCCGGATGAGACAAGTTAAATTGACTATTTTTTTTAAACTTTAACCTTGGCCATAACTTTTGAACGGTTAGGGCTAGGGTTTTCATACGTTCCTGGTGTTATCTTTGTGAAAAGGCCTTTCTTAAGAAACCAACAAACTTGATCCTTTGACCGTGACCCCAGAGTTTAACTTACCTTAAAAATATGTAGAACCTTGTCCATAACCTTTAAACAGATGCCAGGTGCTATGGTTTTAAATTTCACATTTGTATTTCTTGTTAGAAGGCTTATCAAAGGTATCAATAAGTTTGATTTGCAATTTAGAAAATTTAAACTTCGCTATGTTGCCTTGCGGGGCAGCAGTGTTTCACAAAGACATCTTGTTTTTATGCCCCCTTAAAGTTTCGGGGTATTTAGTTTTTGTCGTGTCCGTCTGTCTGCTTGTCTGCAAAAACTTTAACCTTGCCCATTACTTTTGATTTAGAGGAGCTAAGGCTTTCATATTTCAGTTGTGTATTCCTTCTTTTCGGTACCACCATATTTGACCTTTTGACTTTGATCTTGGCCATAACTTTTGAACGGGAAGAGCTAGTGCTTTCATACCTTGCATACGTAATGGTTGTTTCAAGACCTTTAAATTGATATCAAAAACTTTGACCTTGAAGTTTCACCCACTTTCTTAAATGTTTAACCTTCGCCATAACTTTTGAACGCTAAGGCCTAGTGCTCTCATACTTCACATATGTAGTCCTTGTGAGAAGACTTTAACCTTGACATAGTGTCATATATCACAGTCTCCGCTATGTTGCTCTCGGGGGCATCAGTGTTTCACGAACACATCTTGATTTGCTATATTTCTCTCTAAAAGCTTATTTTTGTACAAATATTAGACTTCAAAAGAAATCAATAATGATTAAGTAATTAAATATTTACTCAGTATTATTTAATTTTGTTTAGTCCATTCTGTTTTCCAAATGGCTAATAAAAAATGGAATTCAGAAAGGTGAAATTGTCATGGTCAATGGAGTGGCGGATCTAAAATATTTCCCCCTACTTTTGGGAACAGTCTCGATCGGATGCATTTGTCAAACAGTTAGTATAAACCTTTAGCAAACCCTTTTTATACACCCGCTCCGAAGAAGAGGGAGTATACTGTTTTACCCTTGTGTGTCTGTCCGTCCGTCTTTCCGTCTGTCCGTCCGTAACAAATTTTCGTCGAAGTTTTTTCTCAGCAACTACTTATCGCAGATGCTTGACATTTTGACAAAATCTTCTCTGAGGCATGCCAAATGTGTTCAAATCCGATGTCAGCTTCCTGTTTATCCGTGCGTCTGTCCGTTTCATACATAACAAATTTTCGTCGCAATTTTCTCAGCAACTACTCATCGCAGATTCTGGAAATTTTAACACAATCTTCTTTTAGGCATGCCATATGGTGGGATTCATTTCTGTTTAAATCTGATGTCAAATGTGATGCGTCTGTCTGTTCATACATGTTTCAAACATAACAAATTTTCGTCACAGTTCTCAAAGCAAACACCCATTGCAGATGCTTGAAATTTTAACATTATCTTCCCTGAGGCATACCATATGGTATGATTTATTCTTCCTTAAATCCGATGTCAACTTCCTGACTGTCTGTGCGTCTGTATATTTCATACATGTTTCATAAATTAACAAATTTTCGTCGCATTTTTGTCAGCAACTTTCCTCATAACAGATGCTTGAAATTTTAGTACATACTTTGTTGAGGCATGCTGAATGGTGGGATTTCTTCAATTTTCCGTGCATATACCAGTAACGTTTATTAACATGATATTGTATATTCACATCAGAGCGGGGGTATTACTAGTGAGCATTGGCTCACAGATTTCTTGTTTCCGCAAGAAATGACATGAAAATTTTGTTTTATTTTAATAACATTTCGCATATAATATTATTGAAACAATTGTAGGTTTTCGGTTCCCATTTTAAAAGTCAGCAGCAGCAGCAGGTAACAATTTCAAATATTCACATCGATTTTGTGAAGTATTCAAATAAGGCATAAACAAATTTTTACTATGTTTTAAAAATTGTCATCTTTAAATGTTCTCATGTACATTGTAATATTATTTGGATTTACCTATAAACGCTTAGTGCAGACTTCGCTGTTTTCCTTGGAGAACTTTGTGCACTTTTACAAATTCTATGCTTGAAACAATCTGAAATCCATACTTCAATTTTAGACGCCCCGTGGGGATCCGGGTTAGAATAGGTCCTCAGTACCCCTTTGCTTGTCGTAAAAGGCGACTAAATGGGGCGGTCCTTCGGATGAGACCGTATAAACCGAGGCCCCGTGTCACAGCAGGTGTGGCACGATAAAGAACCCTCCCTGCTCAAAGGCCCTGAGTTCCAAGCATAGGCCTAAATTTGCAGCCCTTCACCGGCAGTGGTGACGTCTCCATATCAGTGAAATATTCTGGAGAGGAACGTTAAACAGTATACAATCAATCAATCGATTTTAGACAATTTACATAAATATCTATCAAAGTTGCTCATAAAAGATCGCAATGCCTTTGGGTCATACTTTGTGTCATGAGGCTTGTGGACACTCCAAAAAAATTTACACAAAATTTTACTCAGATCGGAGGGAATGGCTTTTCTAGCCCTGTTTTCATTTTATTTTCAGTTTCAAATTCATGTCAATAGATGTTTTTCTCCGTGTGTTTTTGTTTTATTGTTCATTGATATACAGTATATACCAATATCAATTTCGTCTACTGATTCAAAAAGCGATTCAGACATCGTCTGCTGCGAGACAGACTTCAATATTTTAAGACGGTAATTTGGAAACGGCAATGTCAGACCTTTTCCCGCAATATCGACTTCATTAATAATTTCATCATTTTCCAATTTCGAAGATTTTACCAAATCTGAGCCACCTCCATCAATTTTTACAACTAATTGATTGATAGTATATTGTTTAACGTTACAATTGAATTATTTGGAATTCTTCTCTCCATCTAGCTGCAGATCTGTAGCTCTCCGAAAAAATATTTTGACAGACCGGAGAGCTACAATGCCACCCATTGAAAAAAACCGTATATTTATTGCACACAAAAAGTGCACTGTTTCCCCTTTTATTTCTCCATAATTTTAAACTGTCATCTCAAAATATTAATAACCGTGTGTTCCTATCATATCCGTTCACTGTTTCCGCAACAAAACATTCCTTATAATTGTTGTTAATAGCCCTCCTGGTCCTGAAATCGAGATCACCGAAAATTTCGTCTATTGATACTGCCATTTTGGTTTGCAAGATAATTCGGTCCAACGCACTTCGTGCAGATGTCAACTACGAGAATACTTGATAGAGGAGTAAGGAATTTTTAAAAATCTATCTTTTTTGCAATTGGATAAGAATTTGGAAAAATTAATCCAGAGCGAAGCGCAACTTTTTGTGTGCAATAAATATACAGATTTTACAATGGGTGGCACTGTAGCTCTCCGGTCGGTCAAATTGAATCTATATTTTTTTCGGAGAGCTATAGATCGGCAACTACTCTCCATCATGCACATGCATTTGTTTATTTACATTACGCCACGCGGATTGTTTTAATATGTATATGTATGCATTATATACTTCTTCGTGAAGGTTAACCCAACAGTGATTATAATGGGATCCCAGTCTGCAGAAGAAGACATATTAATTGCGGAGCACCTTAAAAGTAGCGACAACACAGAGAGGTACATACATGTATGCATGTACCGGTATGTTAGAGAAGGCAAAAATAAAACCGGGATTAATGAACAATGTATACAAAAAGTAATTTCATTGTACTTAGAATAACACAATTTTAAAATACTTTATAAAAATTAATATATTTTTTATCATGTTTAGATCATCCAACCTGAAACGAATAAGATTTTTGAAAGAATCTGATATCAAAAAGTGAGTATTATCTTTAAATCTATATTTCACTTTAGGTGAGGAATCTTAACTACCTTTTTCAATGTCTTCTCTCAATTCAAAAAAATGAATAGATAAGAAATTGAAATTTCTGCAGTGATTTTCAAGGCGAATGTCCAGTTACAGATGGAATATATTTAGCAGCAGTCAAAAGTGTATCTCCGGGAGACCCTGCGTTCATTATCAAAACAACGGTAAGAATTTGTCTGGTGTGAAAAGCGGATCATCTTTAAAAAGCAAATAGACCTCGATATATTTTGTTTTATTCGTTCAGGGTTCTACAGGTTCCAGTAAAACTGTTTTGACTAGTCACAAAACAGCGGTGAACTTTGGGATTTTTTGTGTTGATCGCCAGGCAGCCAAAGAAGTATGATTTATTTTACTCATTACACCTACATGTATGCAGACTGAGTTAATTATCAATTAATTTTCATAAACATAAAATGAACTTAGTTTAGTTTATAGTTCAAGAATTAATAATTTTAGAGCGGTATTAAGTTTTTTCTTTTTCGTCTAGGTGGTATCCAATGAACTCAACATTGCTATACCTAACCCTGTGACGGATGATATTCAGCCTGTGGTAATGACATTAAACGCGCTTATAAACTGGAGGACCTCCAAAATCGTGTTAAATCCCTCATGGCTTGACTTTGGATGCGAGGATATGGAGCGATTTGGCAGTTTTCTCCAAGATGAAAAGTTCGTTATATTAATTTACATATTTCGTTTTCAGAATGCTAAAAACACTCCTATCTTATTTCTGTGAATGCAATTATAGCTGTATGTTTTATTGACATTAATGAACTGTTTATGCTATATATACAGCATTGTTCTATATCAGCATGCTTCTTATCTATAGCTTTAAAAATATCGAGAACATTTTATAAAATATTTTTCTTTAACAGAATTAAACGTTATGCTGGTTATCCGTACGAAGTGATCAAGTTAGTGAACTCAGAATACGTCAATCAGTTCGATTTATCCAATCTTAAATCGGGTAAGAATTTAATTATCTATCACACTGCTACTAGATGCTGTATCTAGTATATAAAGATATGGAAAATGATCTATGGGTACAGGCTCTAAAAACCTAACGACCCAAATCAATATAAAGTTTTTTGGAAACAGACAAAATAACAGATATATAAACAATCCCTAGACCATATTAATCAGGTATTTTTATTTTTAATACATTTGTATAAATAAAATTACATTATTTCCGTAGCTCACTTCTCCATGGCACCTGTCCCCGACTCCGACGTTTCCGAGGTCCATGTTTTCCATGCTCCTATTTTGTATTGTTACATGTGATGGACTTTTAGCTTGAATAATGTTCATAATCTCCTTATATTTCATTATAAAGAGGAAATACTAGAAATAGATAATAAAGCTGTATTTTATATTAAATCATAACATTACAAACCTTTAAAATACACATTTAAGTTAGTTATTTTTACGTTGATTTTTTTTATCAATTTTAGTCAATCTTGTGTCGCAAATAGTATCCAAAGAAATGCGTGAGACAATTTATGAACATTTTCCAAGTTCGTCGGTAAGTTTGTAATTTGTCTGAACTCATTGGGGATATTGAAGTATCATTTTTTACATTTTGAGTAAAAAAATTGAATGAAGACTTGTATTATGGGACAGGTTTATTACGGTGCTAGCGAGTGTTTAGTAGGAACGGCTACGTCTCCTGTCCACTCCTCCCCGGAACAACGCCTGGACTCCATAGGATACCCATTTCCACATACGGAGGTCGCTTATTCATTTCAATCAAGTTTATTGTTAAAATTTATTATTTTTGTATTAATTTTGTTAAAACCTTTTTTTTCTCATTTATTTAAATTTATCGACAAGAATTTCTGTTTATTTCAATTTAAGTTACGTATATAATAATAATAAATGTAAAAATGTTTGACAGGTTAAAATTATTGGAGAAAAGGATGAAATACTCACAATCAACGTACCCGGTGAAATATGTATAAAGGGGTTTGGTATATTTTATGGATATTTAAACAATGATGAGTCAGAGACAGGTCCCTTGGACACAGAGGGATGGTTGCATACTGGGTATTCTCTCTTTCTTTCTCAAGATAAGATTTTAGAGTTGGCTTATTCCTTTAATATTACTAATTTCATGAAGACAAACTGTTATGAAATTAATTTCACACTATTGTTTGATTTATAAAAGAGATGTTGGTAGTATGGATGACACTGGACACGTGACCTACATTGGCCGGAAATCCGACTGCTTGTTTTTCAAACATGGTGGAGATAAAATTTATCCCAAACAACTGACTGATATCATTTCTGCCCATTCAGATGTCTTAGAATCAGCGGTAAGTTTATTTCTGGAATAAAAATCACAATTGTAATTTTTAAAAGTGTAGGTATTGAGATTATATTTGATAGCCAGAGAAATCCTGAATAATATCAAGGTTGGCTAAGATAAAAAGACAGGAAAAGCCTGTTAGAAGCGAACATTATATCTAATTAAGCCTTATTTTAACCCTCTGGCTGCGGGAAGGACATATATGTCCTTTTACCGCTGGCTGCGGGAGGGACATATATGTCCCTGGCGACGTCATAATGTTTGAGACGTCTTTTCACTTTCTTAATTGAAACTTATATATCATAATAATAAAATTTGACTGCAGTTTTTGCTTAAATAAAAGCATAAGAATTTCAAAACAACTATATATATACCAATTAATGAAAGTTAAAAGTTTAAAAAATTATTTTATAATAATTCGTGCATTTTTTATGCATTGATTTGCAAGTTTAAAATGCGCAAACAAAAAACTGTAAAAATAAGTACTTAAAGTCACTGAGAAAACTAGTAACTACCTTAAAAGTAGTTTTACTAGGTACATGTAATGGGTATATTTAACAGTAAGATAAGATTAGTGAATCTAGAATTTATAAGCAACTTTCACTAGGCCGGCATCTAAGTATTAATGCGACCCTAGCTCCACAACTCACTTTCTTAACTGAAAGCTTTCAATTCTCGACAAAGGATTTACGATGTTCACTAGTTAATTTCACTAGGTTTTTCTTTTAGCAATTCAGTTCTAACATAAATACAGGTAATACACGTTTCTGCAAAACTAAATAAAGGATAATAGTCAATTTTTTGAGGGAAAAACCATAATTGTATATGATAAAAAATGTTATATTAAAATTTTCAAAAGTGTACTAAATGAAAATACTAAGAATTCCTCCTGTTCTTTTGGGGGTAAAAGCACGCTACAGTGTATAATTTAGAAATAATTTTAAAAAAAAGTTTACAATATTCAATTTTTATCCAAGATATAAAAAAGATTTCTAAAAATTATCTTAGATAGGAAACTGACAGCGGAAATGATGTTCATCTGCCTTGGGGTCAATTTTGTAGAAGTAGCTAGGACATGCGAATCTCAGGCGCACTCTAGCAAACCATTTTCTCGATCGACCTTGGACTCTGTTAAACCCAACTTTTTTTTCGAAGAATCCCAGTCAAATCCTTGAAATATTAATAGATTATCTGTACCTGAAAAATTTAAAAGCTTATTATAGACTTTCTTGGAAGAGGAAACAAGTCGCTTTGCAGAGCTGCGCAGGTTCTATTTTCGCAACATGACCCCAGACTCAATTCAAGTAACGTTTCTCAATTGCTATGACTCCATGCGATACCCCTCGGCATGTCCAAACGCACAAGTCCGTTAGATTTTATCTTATTCTACATTTCTATTTCGTCACAGGAGTTTGCGTACATGTACCTATCAATTATAGCGAAATTTTCATTAAATAAGAAAAAAAAAACGTGTTATTATTATAGGTATTACGTATCTTTTTTATTTACCGAAAATTTCGGCAAAATTGATAGGTACGCGAACTCGTGTGATTTCGTCTAGCTAATGCTACGTTTACACTATGTTCCCGGCAGCCACGGCAATCACGTTTCAGGCCACCGTGGAAAAAACGGGACGGGCGTGAGAAAACTTGGGGCAACGGGATGGGAAAACGTAACTCATCGCGATTGCCGTGGATGCCGTGCCAGATTTTTAAACTGTCAAAAAATTTGCCACGGCGGCCACGTTGCAGATGTGAAACTTAGTAGGTCGTAGTAAAACGGAATAAACGCAACAAAACGCGACAGCACGTAAAAGACCGTAACAGAACTTGGAGACAGTCCGCAGTGGGACGGGAGATATGTATATTTCCATTCATCTCACGATCCATTCACGTTTTGAGACGTTTTGCTGAGTTTAGTCCGCGTTGTGTCACGGCTAGTTCACGGTTGTTGTCCATTTTATCACGTTCTGCCACGTTTCATCACGGTCCTCACGGCAAACTAGGATGTATGGTAGCCGTTTCCTTGCGTTCAATCGCGGTTCGTCCCGGCATGTTACGGTTTATGGTCCCGGTGCGTTGCGTTCTACTACGGTCTGACACGGCGCACGCGGTCTGAGAGGAAGCATATAAAAGCCGGGCACTGCAGAGAAGTTCCGCCTTCTCATCTGTCTTATTCGTCTCATTCCTAGTTGCTGCACTCCTGCCTTCCCTCTCTGTGACTGCTGCTGGTTCTCTTCATTTTGAGGAAGTGATTTTAGGTATGCACCAGCAAACACGCGAAAATAAAATCTTCGTCTTGGAAATTCATGATGTTTTTTCTTCGAAGGGTCATGATACAATGATTGTTTCTGGTTAGGAGACCTTCTCTGGTACAAACGTGATCAATAG